GCTACCTGACCTGACTCAGCTACTTGTGCAGACTCAGTGGTCAGTGTGTACAGGACAGACCCATGCCTCCGAGTGAACGTGGTGAGGTGCTCACCAGTGTGCGAGTCCGTACACATCGCCACTAGCTTGCCTCCAGGCTGGGTGACAGTGACCCACTGGTCCTGGAGGACAGAGGTAGCCACCATGTTCTTAGCGAATGAGGGGAGGTGGAGACCTGTGAGGAGGCCGGAAGGGGCCGCCGGACAGGGGAAAACAATAGCGCCACGAGCAACTACCGGGCCCCTGGAGGGGTCGGCCAGTGTGACAAGGACAAGGGCTGTGAGCGGTGTGACTGTGGTGCTGTCGCGGAAGAAACAGCGAGACGCGCCTGAGTCTAGGGTAAAAGTGTGCAAGGCCTCCTCAGGCTCTGCCCCTGCGCTAGCCGAGTCACACGCACCGAGACTAGTAGACTCTACACCACCAGTATGAGTACCTCGAAACCCTCCGGCCCCAAAGCTGCCACACCGGACAGCCCACTCACGAAGCTGCTGCAGGGAGAGAGTCTCCAGCGGACGTTGCTGCTGCTGCTGTCCACCCCCATAACCTCCGCGTCTACTAGCGGCACTACCAACAGGAGTAGACTCACAAGTACCTCCAGTAGTAGCACCCCAGCGGACAGCCCACTCACGACGCTGCTGTGGCGAAACACATGGGTGTGGGTGCTGTGAAACACATGGGTGTGGGTGCTGTGAAACATATGGGTGTGGGTGCTGTGAAACACATGGGTGTGGGTGCTGTGAAACACATGGGTGTGGGTGCTGTGAAACACATGGGTGTGGATGCAGTGAAACACATGGGTGTGGGTACTGTGAAACACATGCGTGAGGGTGCACCGAGCCATAGTATTGGGCTTTTCATTAGGTTTCCTGTCTAGCGTGACTTGGGAAATACATTCACATTTGTTGGTGCACAGCTGTAGCAAGGTAGTAGTGATGTTTGGTGTTCTCAAAGCCGAGTCTAACGGCATTTAAGTACAGAAGTCTTCTATAAGTTGCTGGGAGATTAAGTGCTGGTGGGGAACTAAAAGGTGCTGGTGGGAGAATTTTGTGCTAGAAAGGCAAACAATTTGCAGGCTGGATGTGAAGCCACGAGAGGAGGGGTTGCTTGTGAGCTAATTCGTTGGAAAAGCACTATATAAGGCAACAAGGCAACAAGCCGACCCCATCTTCTACGGTATGTCTACAAGTACAAAAGCCGCAGAGACACCATACCCGGTTTTCAGCTGAAATACCCTTCCTCCCATCAGCTATGAGGGACCATCACGTAGAGGAACCCCATCTGGTGGTACTGGATGGGGTGTAGGTGTATGTGTCTGAGCTTGTCCGAGCTTGAGTCAGGTCTTGATGGCCAGCTGGCTAGGGTAAGAGTACCCCTTTTCAGGCTCAATCCTAGCCCCATGGGCTCTCAGGCAAGTCCGTTTCTGCCTTTGATGGCCAACTCGCTAGGGTACAAGTTCACTTCTACATCCAATAGGCTGGCTTTAATGGCCAATTTGCTGGACCCTTCACGACCACCCGTGGGGAATACGAGGAAACCACCGTTGGCTGCACCGGCCTCGTAGGTCTTACTGTAGACGAGAGTAGAGTAAGAAGCGTCAGGAGCAGCCAGCATGGCGTCCGCCAGCTCCTTGTACGTCTGCCCGTTATCCGCCGTCAAAGTACTGGCGCTTAGCCAAGTGCCGAGAAGTTTGTAGTTGTAGCCAAGCGGAAAGGAGGGCAGGGGAGGCGACTGCTTGCCCCTGTTACCCTTGGGATTTTGTTTGCCGCCCAACTCGGCGAGCTCGAAATCTGAAAGCGTACTATTGATCCACGTGGCATCGCTGGTGGCCACGGTGAGTGCCACGTCAGCACCTTTCTTGATGACGACGCTGGTGGGCTCTCCAGAGTCGGTTAGATTCACGCAGACGTAGTAAGTAATATCGTAGTCCTTGGTTGTGGCGTTTCTAAGGGGGAGAGAGGGGTAGGAAGGGGAGGGTGTTTGGCCACGGGACAAGCGGGTCAGGACGGGGACTCACGCACACATAGTAAGTACTGTCGTAGCCGGTAGTTGTGGCGTTTCTAAGGAGGTGGCAAGGAGGTGGCAAGGAGGGGAAAGGAGGAGCAGGGCGGGCCAGGGAGGGGCGGGTGTTTGGCCAGTGGGTACAGAAGGAGAAGAGAGTTGAAACAAGGTTGTGATGGGGCAAGGTACAGGAATACTGTGAGGAGAGATTAAAAAAGTAAGGGGCGAATTGGGGGAAATGAGAAGTGATAAGCGAGACGAGAAGGTGAAGCTTACTGAAAGACAGAGAGGGAAATGAGGCCTGTAGTGTTAACGTCACCGCTGAGGTTAGCATTGGAGCCGATGAGATGCGCTTGTAACACAGCTTTACGAAATAGCGTAACCACGGGAAGAAAAGAATGCTCGTGAAAAGTGAAAATGCCTCAAAAAAGGAGTTGGAGCCGTTGAGACGCGCTGCCACCGCACGGTGAGAACGGGAGGGGCCATGGTGGGTGGTTGATTCCCAAGCAAAAATAAATGGTGGAGGTAAGAGTGGGGGAGGCAAGAGTGGGGGAGGCAAGAGTGGCCGAGCCAAGAGAGGCAGAGAAGGCTAGAAGGGGAGAGAACGTAGGCTTCTTCCTTTTTTGCGCTTACTGATAGGAGCGCCGAGCGGATCGCCTCCATTCTTCCCACCATCGTTCCCGCATTTTTTCCCACCATCTTTCCCGCCTTTTTCCCCGCCCTTCTTCCCACCATCCTTCCCGCCCTTCTTGCCTTTAGGCGGCAGTGGAAGCGGGTCCGACTTAAAGTGTCCCTGCGCCGCACCCGACTCAAAATCAGTGGTCGCGAATGTCGCGTAGTAACCATCCGTATTCGCTGTAATCGAATCCACCAGCTCCTTCAATGTCTGCCCGCCGATCGTGGACAGCGTACTCGCTTTAAGCCATGTTCAAGCGTGAAGGTGCTTGCAGGGGCTCCCTATGAAGGCAGATAATTCGCAGAAGCCGCACCTGCTGGCGTCCTTCCACCCCTTCCTGCGTGATGGGATATCACCAATCTTCCCTCACCCCCAATTCCCCCCCCTTTTCCCTGCACCCTCTCAGGCTACAATGAGCATTGGCAGCTGCGTATCAGAAGGGCGTGTGATGACATGTCTGCCTGCACTCCTCCCTCACCTCCAACCTCCCCAACACCCTACACCTCCCCACATGTGATGACGTGAAGTATTCTTGAGTCGACTCAAAAACACCCTACACCTCCCCACATGTGATGACGGGAAGTGTTTTTGAGTCGACTCAAAAACACCCTACACCTCCCCACATGTGATGACGGGAAGTATTTTTGAGTCGACTCAAAAACACCCTACACCTCCCCACATGTGATGACGGGAAGTATTTTTGAGTCGACTCAAAAACACCCTACACCTCCCCACATGTGATGACGGGAAGTATTTTTTAGTCGACTCAAAAACACCCTACACCTCCCCACATGTGATGACGGGAAGTATTTTTGAGTCGACTCAAAAACACCCTACACCTCCCCACATGTGATGACGGGAAGTATTTTTGAGTCGACTCAAAAACACCCTACACCTCCCCACATGTGATGACGTGAAGTACGCAAGGAGATCACGGCCTGCTACGACCCGGCCGCCGCATGGCTACAACTCAAAATCCTCGAGGTCCCTCGTGTGCACCTGCTACAAGCTGGCGGTGAAGTACTCAAGGGAGGAGGTGAACACCAGCTCACCAGTTTGGGGCGCCACAGCACATGAGGGACCTGGAGGACCTTGAGGGTACTAGGCTATTTCTGGACCCCTCAGCAACACACTACGAGACGACAACTGGCATAACTCATGTCCAAACATCATGCGACTGTGGTAGGCTGTGGCAGTGCTCCCGTTGAGCACTGTAGAATGCGGGGCGGGGCTTCTCGAAACAGAATTTGATCAAGACATGGGCTCGTGGGAGCATTAGCGGCATTAGTTTCGGGAGCATCTCATGGGATCCACGTGGCGTCGTTGGTGAGCACGGTTAGTGCCACGTCAGCACCATTCTTAATGACGACACCAATGGGCTCGCCAGAGTCTTTCAGACTCACACGCACATGGTATTAAATGTCGTAGTCGTTGGTCGTGGCGTTGCTGCGGGGGGGGGGGGGGAGGGGGAAGGGTGGGTGTCAAAGAGGGGCAGGGACGGGCGGGTGTTTGGCCATGGGATGTGGTAGGCAATGCCGTAGTTGGTAGCTGTGACGTTGCTGCGGTGGTACGTGGTAAGCAGGGGCAAGGACGGGCAGGGAGGGGCAAGGCGGGGTAGGGAGGGGCAAGGCGGGGCAGGGAGGGGCAAGGGGTCGTTTAGGAGGGGGTGGTGGGTGGCAAAGAGGGGCAGGGAGGGGCAAGGAGGGGCGGGTGTTTGGCTATGGGACGTGGTAAGCAGTGTCTTAGTCGTTAGTGGTGGCATTTCTAAGGGGCGAGTGGCAAGGAGGGCCAGAGAGGGGCGATAAGGGGCACGGAGGGGCTGGTGTTGGCCATAGGACAAGTGGATTAACTCTGGGCAAAGCTAAAAACAAGAAGCAACAGGAAGGCAATAAAACATGACGCCAAAAGTAGTAGGGGGAGGTTGAGAGAGTAAGGGGTGAACTGAGGGGAGAAGTGAATTGAACTAAGGCTGTGGGACGGATGGAAATGATGGGATAGCTTACAGGAAGATGGTGAGGGGAGGTTGAGAGAATGACGGGTGAACTGAGGGGAGAAGTGAATTGAGGAACTGAGGAAAATGAGACGTGAGTAGAGAGAAGAGAGAAGGAGAAGCTTACAAAAAGGCGACGAGGTCAATGAAGCCCGTGGCGTTGACATCACCGCTGAGGTCAGCATTAGAGCCGTTGACACGCGCTGCGGCCGCACCTGCACGAAATGGCAGAATCACGGAAAATATAAAATGCAGAGAAATCTAATTTGGAGCCATTGAGACGCACTGCCACCGCACCGGGAGAACCGGAGGGGGCACGGTGGGTGGATGTTTCCTAGCGGCAAGAGTCGTGGTAGGGTAGGCAAGAGTGGGCGAGGCAAGAGTGCCAGAGACGTCTTCCTGTAGTATAGGCTTACCGGCAAAAGTGCCGAACTTATCGCCTCCATTCTTGCCCCCACCATTCTTCCCACCATCCTTCCCACCACCATTCTTCCCACCATCCTTCCCACCACCATTCTTCCCACCATTCTTCCCACCACCATTTTTCCCTCCATCCTTTCTGTCCTTCTTGTCCTTAGGCGGCGGCGGAAGCGGGTCCGACTGAAACTGCCCCCGCGCTGCACCCGACTCATAATCGGTTGTCCCGAATGTCACGTAGTACGCATCCGGCTTCGCTATAATCGCATCCACCAGTTCCTTTAAAGTATGCCCGCCGATCGTGGACACTGTGCTCGCTTTAAGCCATGTTGCGTTAGTGCCATAAGTGTACTTCGGAGGCGGTGGAGGGGGCGGTGTGCCCTTGTTCTTCTTGCCCTTGGGCGGGGGAGGCGGTGGACGGGTAAGATTCGCCCACGTGGCTGTTTCTCCTGCCACGACAGTATTATGAACGGCGGTTCCCGCCTCTCCTGCTGCGCCTTGATAGATCGTCGCGCCGAACGGCTCGGCTTCGTCGGAGGTGGAGGTGATGACACTGTAGAAGACGTTGTAGTCGTCGTCTAGCCTGACGGTTTCCGTCAGGGTTCGCACAAACGAGTGGAAGGGAGGAATGGAATGTGCATTGGTCAGGCATGTGAAGGCATGTGAAGGCATTTTTGGAAAGATGATGTGCAGCAATGGTTTGAGATATCTTCAACGGGTAGTTGGAAGGGGGAAAACAGCACAAGGGATTAGGTGACCGCACCAGAGGCGGTTGGCTTACTGGAAGACGGCAAGGCAGACTCGCTCGGTGGCGTTGGCGTCGCCCTGTGGCCCAACCACGCTGGATCCGTTCAGCCGCGCCGCAAGAATTGCTGCGCGGAGATGCAGGGGGGTGTTCGCCAAGGGGAGGGAAGTGGAGGGAACGAAGTGTGTGGTGCGGGAGAAGGGCGGAGAGGACAGTGAGAGCGTGGAGGGAAGGACAGGAGGATAGTAGAGAGGCGAGAAAAGGAGAGAGATGGTGTTCTGTTTGTAAAAGTCGTACGAGCCGTCAAATCCGTGTTTTAATCAAACGCGTGGATCCTCGAGATCCTGTCAGATTCCCCGTGGTAGTCTCACCCGTCAGATTCCCGAGAGCCTCAGCCTCTTTCGGCTTGGGTAGAGGGCACGGACCCGCATCTAAGGGTCCCTCCTTCCCGTCATTCTTGTCATTCTTGTCATTCTTGTCCTTCACAGGGCGCGCCGTCGTGATCGCTGCGCAGCATGCGGAAGAAAGGAAGCACATGGAATAACTTATTCCAATCGTATGAAAGTGTACAAAATCACCAATACGAAGGTCAACAGTTGAATAAGACGGATGGAAAATGAAGCCTTTCGCTGAGATAGTAGCTGCTTTGAATTCAACGGCTGATATGGGCTGTAGCACTGGTACATATTCAGATTCTCACCGAAGCATGCCGTGACGACCAGGAGAAAAACTGACAAGCTGAGGTCACGGTGGAGCCCCATGGCGGAGCATATTCTAGAGATCAGAAACTGAATGTTGGTTGCGTGATGAGGTTGGAAAGAACATGATGATACTTCAATCACTTGTTAGGTGGTATTTATTCTCAGCAAGCACAACTAGGGAGCTGCTGGTCGCATGGAAGAAAACGGACTATCGTGATTGACTTGCATGTTCTGGGAAGCCAGGAGAATGCGCTGCAAGATTCGGGTGGACGCATTAGGCGGGATACCTAGCGGGAAAGGGAACCACATAGCGTGCGGACATTGCGTAAACATGTTCAGGGCAACATGTGCAATCCTTGCCCGGAAAAATTCTGCAAACATCAGCGGAGGGTGGAGCTGAGCTCTTGACCACCCCACTATCGTCGGTGTCCCTTCGGAGTATGACACACGGCCATTTTTTAATCGTACGGGCAGCGTAGTCGAAACATAGTTCACCACTCCCGTCCATATCGCAGAGATGGTGGTTGAATCGCCGCGGAGTACGCTGTCCACGATGGGGAAATTCAGGTGAAAGCTCCAGGAACCTTTTCTCACGGAGGCTTGCCCTCTGTTCCGCCGCACGCGCAATAAACTTGGTCAAGTGCTTTCCTCGGCTCGACCAATCCCCTGAGATGTACGCGCAGGTGACACAACAGGAAAAACCAGCAGAACATGGCAAGAGTCCCTATCGCGTCCGTAGTTTTGACACCAGGAGCTTATTTGTGTCAACTCGAAGCGCGCGTGATCGAGTTGTCAGAATCCCAACCACTAGACCATTGGGATACAAGGGCTTGTTAAGTAGCGGGTCAGTGCACCCATAACCCCCCAGGACAACGAGCCTGTAACCCTTCCCTAGGATCAATCGGGGATCACCAGTGGACCTTTGACACCCCCCCGCACTAGGATGCCCGAAGTGCATACACTGGGATTCGAACCCGAGAACGCTCTGATACCATCTCAGAATCCCAACCACTAGACCATTGGGATACAAGGGCTTGTTAAGTAGCGGGTCAGTGCGCCCATAACCCCCTAGGACAACGAGCCTGTAACCCTTTCCTAGGATCAATCGGGGATCACCAGTGGACCTCTGACACCCCCCCGCACTGGTATGCCCGAAGTGCACATACTGGGATTTGAACCCGAGACCGCTCTGATACCATGTCAAAATCCCAACCACTAGACCATTGGGATACAAGGGCTTGTTAAGTAGCGGGTCAGTGCGCACATAACCCCCCAGGACAACGAGCCTGTAACCCTTCCCTAGGATCAATCGGGGATCACCAATGGACCTCTGACACCAGTGTGCCAATAACTGTAGCGCGAGTGTCAAACTCAATGCCGATGTAGTCCTATCAACGACGACCTTATTGATGAAAAAAAAACATATTTCGGACCAACACGGCGACGAGAAATAGGTCTAGGGAGTGATGCGATGGGGACGTACTGTCGGTGGGATGTGAAGAATATGCTACACTCCGAGGGAATTTGAGTGTGGGTGAGCAAACCTTGAGCAAAAACGTGGCGAGAAGCTGGTGGGAAATGTTGGATTTGAAAGGAGCAAATAAAATAATGAACTACAACGAGGTAAGGTCTAGCTATAAAATGGATCTAGATGGTTTGTGTCAAACTTATACATGCTATAGTCTGTTTAGGCTGTAGTGGGGTAGTCCTTAGAGGGTACAACACTTTTGTGTTTGCTACTTGTACCCCACCTGTTTCCTAGTTCATCTCATTTCCACTCATTATTCTCACATGGTAGCAGGTTCCCTAGTGGAACTTTTTAGGGCCCACCACTACCAAAAGTTTTTTTTCCTTACCTGCCCGAGGCGCGTTTCGCTTCTGTCCTAGCAGCGCCCCGTGCGCCTGCCCTTCGCGGCCCTTCGAGGCCCCTTGCAGCCTTCGCGGCCCCTTAGCGGCCCTTTGCGGCCCCGTCACGGCCCTTTGCGGCCCCCTTCGCGGCCCTTCGCGGCCCCCGTTCGCGGCCCCTCATGGCCCTTCGCGGCCCCTCGCGGCCCTTCGCGGCCCCCTCATGGCCCTTCGTGGCCCCTCGCGGCCCTTCACGGCCCCTTCACGGCCCTTCGCGGCCCCTTGCGCGGCCCTTCGAGGCCCCTTTGTGGCCCTTCGCGGCCCCTTGCGCGGCCCTTCGAGGCCCCTTCGTGGCCCTTCGCGGCCCTCTGCGGCACTTCGCGGCCCCTTCCGGCCCTCTGCTGGCGCGCCCCCCCCGCTGACGCGCCCCTGTAACCGAGCCCCTGCCGGCCCCTGCACACGAGCTGCTGGCGCGGCCCCTGCTGGTGCACCTCTGCCGGCCCCTGCAAACGGCCCCTGCTGGAGCGGCCCCTGCTGGCGCGCCCCTACCGGCCCCTGCACGCGAGCCCCTGCAGGCCCCTACTGGCGCGGCCCCAGCTGGCGCGCCTCTACCGGCCCCTCCTGGCGCGCCCCCTACAGTCCCGGCCCGTTTCTGGTAAGCCGAGCAGCGCCACCCAGCCGAGCCGCGCTGCCCAGCCGAGCCGCGCCGCCCAGCCGAGCCGCGCCGCCCAGCCGAGCCGCGCCGCCCGGCCGAGCCGCGCCGCCCAGCACTGACTTGCGCTACTGCTGCTACTGCTGCTACTGCTACTACTGCTGCTACTGCTACTATGGCTAGTCCGACTGTTCTCACCTTTGATGCTGAGGGACGTGCAGTTGATTTTGACGTATGGGTTGACGACCTACAGCTCTTTCTTCAGTGTGATTCTAGGGATGGGGTATCCCTTTTCGATCACACGTCAGGTGTTTCCACTGCTCCTACTGCCACTGCTGACAGAACTGTTCGCTCGCAGTGGACCACTCGTGACGCTGTTGCTCGTCTTGCTGTTCGTAGTCACCTGCCGCCTGCTGAGCGCGCGCACTTTGGCCAGTACAAGACTGCTCAGTCTTTGTACGACGCTGTAGTTGCACGCTACTCCTCCCCTGCCACTGCTGCCCTCAGCCGCCTCATGCTGCCGTACCTTTTCCCTGACCTTGCTGCCTTTGCCACTGTCGCTGACCTAGTTGCTCACCTTCGCGCTAGTGACGCCCGCTACCGCGCTGCCCTTCCCACTGAGTTCTGTGCCAAGAACCCCCCCCCCATGTACATCACCCTTTACTACCTAGTCACCCGCCTCCCTGACTCCCTCTCTTCAGTCAGGGACCACTTTCTCTCCCTTTGCCCCACCGAACTGACTGTCGACCTGCTAGAGGAGCGCCTTACTGCAGCAGAGAAGAGTATCTTAGCTGTAGGTGCTTCTCGCGGCGACCGTCGCACCCCCTTCTTTGAGGGGTGTTCCCCTGTCCCCCTTCTCCCCTCTGTTGCTTCTGCTTCTGCTGTCGACCTCGTTGGCACTGAGGAGGTCGGCGCTGCGTCTGCCCCTAGTGGGAGACGCCGCACCAACAAGGGCAAGGGGAGCAAGGGTGGTGGCGGGGGCGGCGGGGGAAGCGGTGGAGGGGGTGGAGGCGGTGGAGGAGGTGGCGGTGGAGGTGGGGGTGGTACCGGGAGTGGAGGCGTCAGTGGCGGCGGTGGAGGTCGTGGCGGCGGTGGCGGAGGAGGTGGAGGCAGCGGCAGCGGCGGAGGTGGTGCTGGTTGAGGTGCAGCCGCACAGCGTGGAGGCTTTGGTGGCAGCCAGCGCCAGCAGCAGCAGCGCACCCGTGAGACCCCGTCGGTTCAGCAGCTTCGTGAGTGGTACGCTGGGCGTGGGAGGTCTGGGGGTGCAGGTCCCTGCACTTCCGTTCTTTGCACCGGCACTCGTAGTGGGGAGGTGTGTGGGCTTTCACACACCACGCAGCGCTGCTTCGGTCACTTGACTGACGCTTGGCGTACCCAGTTTCCTGACGCCGTTGAGCTTCCTCGTTGGCATGATCTGCTTCTGCAGAATGTGCCTATCTTTGATCTAGACTTTGATGCTATCCTTGCTGCCATGTATGCTCTTGCTGATAGTGCTGAGGGTGACTGTTACCTGAGTGTCCCGCCCGACCCGGGCATTGCGGCTGCTGCTCTAGGTGCTAGTGCGTCTGCTGCTCCAGGTACTAGTGCGTCTGCTGCTCCAGGTGCTGGTGCGTTTGCTCTCTCTGGTACTGCACCTACTGAGTCCTTGCACACTTGCACACTTGACTCTGGTGCTTCGCGCTCTTTCTTTAGAGACAGCACCACGCTCACGCCGCTCCGTCGGCCTGTTGCGGTCTCCCTTGCTGACCCCTCCGGGGGCCCATTCCTTGCACACTCCTCCACGGTTCTACCGTGTCCTGCGGCCCCGTCGGGCTTGCTGTCGGGACTCCACCTCCCCTCGTTCTCTACGAACTTGGTGAGTGGAGCTGACCTCCAGGACGCGTGGGTTGACCAGTTCACCCCTGGAGGTCAGCGTGTGACCCATTGCACTTGCTCTCGGACGGGCCGCCACCTGGCCACGTTCACCCGTCGGCCAGGGTCGAGTCTGTACACACTGACTACTGCGCCTCCTCCGGTCCCTGCGTCTGGTCAGGTAGCTGCGTCCAGTCAGGTGTTTGTTGCCGCGTCCAGGTCTAGTCTTGCGTCTGCCCCCTGCTCGTGTCGTCCTCTGGCGCACGAGACTCTCCTTTGGCACCACCGCCTTGGTCACCCCTCCCTGCCTCGTCTTCGAGGTATGGCCTCTCGTGCTCTTGTCTCTGGACTCCCCAGGTCCTTCCCTCCCCTTCCTCCGGGGCCTGCCCCCACCTGTGTTCCTTGTGTCGAGGGCCGGCAGCGCGCCGCTCCTCACTCCTCCTCGTTTCCTCCGACTGAGGCCCCTCTGCAGACTCTTCACATGGACG